CGGCCTCTCCCCAGGAGTCAGACTTAAAGAACGATCATCTGCCAAAGCGTCGCCGCTGGGGTGTTACCGAAAACGTCCGCGGCAAAAGTCCTCGCACAATAGCTCATATCAGATTGGCTAGTACCGTTGCTGCCGCACTCAGATCTAGCGCCAAACCCCAGTCACGCGCTCAAAGCACAACCCTAGACCGGGAAATGGTTGATGATGGAAGCGCCGATGATTCTGATGACGAATATTACAACGATGGGAGCGACGCCACTGGCTCTCAGAGAGGCTGTCCATCACGGAAGCGGGTTAGGCAGACGAAGGATTTAGGGAACAGTAATGCTGCAGCCCAGCCCACTCATTCCCCTGATGTCTCATGTCAAGCTACAGAAGAAACCTCGTGCGGTAGTATGCAGGAGAGCGAAGAGATTCCCATCCATGGATCCTTTGCACTAAAGATAGTGGAGTCAAAAGTTCTATACTGTCTCACATTTTCTCAAGAATCATCACCACTTTCTCAAAGCCAAGGGCAGCAACAAGATAGTCCCACCGATCCCGAAGAACCTCAGCCGGCTATTTCAATCACAGACCCTACTCAGGAATGGGGAATCCACAAAATCACTGGTCAGAAAATGGTTAGAGGTGAGAGGCACTTTCGGGTAGAATGGAATGAGACGTGGATGCCTGAATCTGAACTAGCTGGAGCCAAGGAAATGGTGGATACCTTCATAACGGAAGTTGGGACTGGGACCGGAGGGAGGAAGCGGCCTCAGAAGCNAATCCACAAAATCACTGGTCAGAAAATGGTTAGAGGTGAGAGGCACTTTCGGGTAGAATGGAATGAGACGTGGATGCCTGAATTTGAACTAGCTGGAGCCAAGGAAATGGTGGATACCTTCATAACGGAAGTTGGGACTGGGACCGGAGGGAGGAAGCGGCCTCAGAAGCGAAGTCGGCTAGCTACTGGACTGCCTCATGCTCGGGATGAAGAAGAGCCAAAGAAGCGACGTGGTCGATCTCAGAAGCAGACGTGAGTTGGCAAGGATGTCTAGGCTTTAGGAGAGGATTAATAGTATAGCGGCATAAAGGCATCAATGCATTATTACAAAGGCAGCAAACTTTACTTACGCTATAATATTGTGACAAGCATAGATGGAATAGCTTCTTCAAGGGTTTTTATTAAGATGTAAATTACTACTTAAACTTAGAGAATATCTTTCGAAATCTAGAAGGTCGTTTCTCGCTCTCTTTTCCTGCTTTCACTTGCTTACTTCGGAGCTCCAGATCTAATTTAGAGACTGTTCCTATTATTGTAATTAGCTATTTGAAATAAAATTAATGCTAATACGAGGCTTAAATTCTTACTACTTGAACTATCCAAAGATGCTATATTTTGCTTCACGGTCTTAGACTTTATATGATCTGGTCCAAGGGCCTTCTCATAGCCTTGCAACGCCCGCTGGTACATCTTCTCGGCCTCCACCAGCTTGCCTTGATTGAAATAGAGGCTGCCTAAGTTGTTGACTGTATCAAGGGTCGATGTGTGATCTGGTCCAAGGGCCTTCTCATAGCCCTGCAACGCCCGCTGGTACATCTGCTCGGCCTCCACCAGCTTGCCTTGATCAGAGTAGAGGATGCCTAAGTTGTTGACTGTTTGAAGGGTCAATGTGTGATCTGGTCCAAGGCAAACCATATCAACGATGATACGACGCGATCCCAACTCTGGTACAACAGGGCCGCTAATGTAGCAGGAGCCATTGCGCCGCAAGAAATTGAGCCTTCTAGTAGCGACGATAGCGGTGGTTTAAGCGACAGTGATCACACCTCCAACAGCGACGATGATGGACATTCGAGTGAAGATGAGCAGGATCGTCCAAGAACCAGGAAGAATATCCCATGGGACCCTTTAGACGAGCAGCGCTTGCAAGCATACAGGAAAGAAAACAAGTCTTGGAGCTGGATTTTCCAGAAATTTCTAAAAAGAACCCCGCCCGCCGTACGTACGCGCTGGAATATGATCCGGCTCAGAGGTTAATAGATTCTACTCACCTTGAGAAGTATGATGCGGGGTCGAGTTTCAAAACATGCTAGGGGGGCAGGAAATATATGTATATGAAATTCTGTGTTGTATAAAAAAGCTCAAATTCCAAATTTCAGTATACGTATTTACCTTCATCCGTGACATACCAGCTCCACTCAAATTAGAGATCTACAATGGCGAAAAGAAGAAGAACCGCCTCTAGAACACGCGAGTTTTCCGTTTTAGTGCAAAGATCCTTGAGTAAGGAGGATCAGACAAATCGCTTTGTGCCCCGCTATTTTCCCCTCCCCCTTTCTTATCTCGTTTAAATATCCGCCTCGAGGGCTGCTGGGGTAGTGCTCTTGCTCTCTGCTTCAGAGGGATGCCGCCGCGTTCTTATCCTAAAAAGTTCCATCTGGAAAATCTCTAAAGTTACACTCTCCAATCTATCTTCAGCCAACTATTGTCTTTGCTCAATCTGCGTGAGACAACCTGTCGCATCTCAATTCCTTCCTCTCTGCATGTACGGTGTAGAGCTTTAATTTCGTAGTCGGTGAGGAAAAACATACATATCCTCAACCTAAACCATTGCATACTTGATGGTAAACTTGAAACTCTAAGATTTAACCTATCCGTGCAATGCGTTGTTTATCTTTAATGAAAAACGGATCTTCACTGTCTATAACTGTCCCCATCCAAAAGTACTACTCGGCAACTTGGGCAGTTAATTGCTCTAGCCCATAAATCTGCTGAACAGCCATGGCACAAAAAATTCCTTTGTAATATTTAGTTCATGCTCAATATACTTGAGGGTCCTCATACCATATTTTGTAAGAACTAAATGATCATTGAAAGTACAGCGACATATGGGGCAGAGAATATCAGGTTCGCAGGTGAAAGGGTGGGAATTTACGACTGTAAAAGCACATTCTATAAGTATTTAGCCTCTGTAAATTTAGTATATTAGGTTCCTTGGCTGCTGCTGCTGCTAATTATCTCATGTCCCGACTGGATGATGGGCAGAGAAACTCTTCTCCCTTCCCTTTTCCCTCAATATTCTGCTGCTCAAGATGCTTAAGGAATAAGTCCAGAAATAGTTCCCAGACTTGTTTCTATCACAGAGGAAACAGCCGTACACTTTGCCACCCTCCGCCTTGACCGTCCTATCCTCCCAAATTGTTGAGTTTTGTTGAGGATCCAGTGCTGTGTTTTAAAAGGGAGGTACGTAGGGTTCGTGGTGCGAAATTGCAATCGCAGGTACTCTGCGGGCCCTTTCTGCTCCTCCGTCTGTCTATGAACGTAAAAGGCAGTTAGCATTATTTCAGGAATAACTGTGTGGGATGCTTGTGCCTAATACCTTGACGTATCTCCTGGGGAACCCTCTCTCCCCTCCCCTATTATGGCGCTTTAGGCCGTTTTCTGGTAGCTCCAGTTCCATTTTGTCCCTTACCACGGTACTTGGGTCTTATCGCGTGTTGGGCATCTGCCATATTGATAGAACAATAGGCACTGGACTACTGTGTGTTTGAGACTCCTTCCGCTTGCTATTGTTGGGTTCTCATTGAGTTGGGTGCTATGGGCACGACNTCGCGTGTTGGGCATCTGCCATATTGATAGAACAATAGGCACTGGACTACTGTGTGTTTGAGACTCCTTCCGCTTGCTATTGTTGGGTTATCATTGAGTTGGGTGCTATGGGCACGACCCCGAGGTTTGGCGCACGGGCCTCTGCATTGCGCAATCTACTACCTGGATCGCTTCCCTCAACATCATAGAATAATTTACAGGACCATCGGCCTCTCTGCAACAGTCACATCGCTCGATTTCTCGATTTCTCTGGGCCCGGATTAGGTGCTTTCGCTTTAGTATGTCTCCCGATCTANCATCATAGAATAATTTACAGGACCATCGGCCTCTCTGCAACAGTCACATCGCTCGATTTCTCGATTTCTCTGGGCCCGGATTAGGTGCTTTCGCTTTAGTATGTCTCCCGATCTAGGAATCGTGATCAAACGTTACTACCCCCCGGGTGTCACAACCATCATTGCCTCCAGCTTCACTTGTTTCCTGGGCCTTATCGACAAGGACACAGTGCTTAAATACTTGCATGATGAGAACCCCGATTTTCACGAGCAAGCACGCCTTAATATCGAAGCTGAGATATATACCATTCTTGGTGACCACGATCGAATCATTAAGTTCAAAGGCAGAAATCGGCACGGTATCTGTCTCGAATATGCAGTCAATGGATCCGTTGCTCATTATCTTAGACAAGCCAGTAGCAGCCCAACGACTTCTCAGAGGTTCAAATGGGCACAGCAGGCAGCCGAAGGTATGGCGTACATCCACAAATCAAGGGTTATTCATTGCGACACTAACACAAACAACCTGCTCCTCGACCAAAACCTCAATATCAAATTTGCGGACTTCCAAGGGCGATTCTTGTCACCAGATGGTACTACTATTCTGAATGGCCTTTCATCAGAGAACATAAAGTCATCTATGCCTCGTTCTGATCCAAACCATGCAGATCAAAAGACAGATATCTTTGCTTTAGGGTCTGCGATTTACTACATGATGACTGGACATGAACCGTTTCCAGAGCTGAATCCTTTAGTCGACGACGATGAAGTGGAAATAGAGGCAAGATTCAAATTGGGTCGTTTTCCAGCCTTGGATCCCCAGCTAGGTGGCAAGGTTGTGCACAATTGTTGGGCGGGAGCATACAGGTCGGCTTCAGAGGTGGTTGAAGATCTCCAAGAGCTTGCCAAAACTACTCTAGACGTATAGCATATTATGAAAGCCCAACCTTCGTTATGGTGATATGCCTTTGATGCGACCTAAAAGTCATGTGCTGATATCTTTATAGGAGAAACTTCACGGTAACAAACCCAAGGCGACATGGTTTTGCTTTGCCGAGTACAGTGATGGACAGAAGCCAGAATCAATTGAAGGCCAGCACAGTCACAGAGCAAGGAGGCACAGAAGTCTTTATTTTATAAATTGTTAGGTTCTGTAACAAAAAACCACTGCATAAAAAACCCAGAGACAGCTGTGAATAATCAAGGCAGGTCTGATCAATGTGAGACTCTGTTCAACGTCCTTACACCGTACTAATCACGCAGTCGTAGTCGAAGACAGATGCTATAGCTCATCTTCGAGAGTTGCTGTAAGATTACAAGCGGAATATACAATTTGAAATTCTTTTGAAGCGTACCGTGTTAGCTTAGCATTTTGGACAGATACCACCGTTTATAGTGCTTGCTCCAAGGTGATTATCCTTCACTCCTTTACACCGGTCGGTTCCTTGGTGTGGACATGGCCTGGGATCGTACTTGGTGATTATATGTTTAGGGCTTGCGGTACAATTCTTGTACTTCTGGATACAACCAGTTAGCTAGTTTTTCATAACATGAGACTCTGCTTTACTTGGGTATGAACGTCTCTGTCACACATGTTGATTAAATTATCCTGGTAAGAACTATCTTGTAAAACTTGAGTAATGGTAAGGCGAGTTAGACTTAGGTAGCTTAAAGAGTTAAGTATAAAAGATTGAAATGTTCCGTGCTGCCATTTTTATACCAGTCAGGTCCAGTGATTGCCTAAAATCCAGCATGTTTCTGTTATTCCTAATNTTGAGTAATGGTAAGGCGAGTTAGACTTAGGTAGCTTAAAGAGTTAAGTATAAAAGATTGAAATGTTCCGTGCTGCCATTTTTATACCAGTCAGGTCCAGTGATTGCCTAAAATCCAGCATGTTTCTGTTATTCCTAATTGGATCGGAAAAGATAAACGGGGTATTGTGGCATTTCTTACGCTCAATCAAAATCTGACACACGATAGGGTCCGCGTGTGACAGAGGATAATCCCCGACTTCGGTACAGAGCTCCTACCGANATCGGAAAAGATAAACGGGGTATTGTGGCATTTCTTACGCTCAATCAAAATCTGACACACGATAGGGTCCGCGTGTGACAGAGGATAATCCCCGACTTCGGTACAGAGCTCCTACCGACTCGAATCGAGTTTACTTCCCACTGAAGCGATACCAACATCCAGTTAAGGTAAAATCCGGGTTGGTTTCATTGGGTAGACAAGGAGCGTCAGAGAATGTAATATATGCNGAGTTTACTTCCCACTGAAGCGATACCAACATCCAGTTAAGGTAAAATCCGGGTTGGTTTCATTGGGTAGACAAGGAGCGTCAGAGAATGTAATATATGCAATCTTACGTCCCTCCCTAGCTGACGAAAAACCCACCGTGCTGAGAAAACTGCTAAGTACTTTGAGTTTAAGCAACTTGTTGCTACATATGTACAAGCTAGCTGCCGCAAGGTTGGTGAAGGCTGATGGAGAGAGTGGGGCTTCGCACTTCACAATTCATTAGCTGGGTTTGTAGCCTATCGGCAGCACCTTCACCACTTTTGCGGCAGCTGCTGAGTCATAGGATGTGAGTCGTCACAGCAGTCCGCCTTGGCAGGGATCTAAAGTATAGGTAGAGAATGTTCAGAGAGGATGAGCAATGCGCTCTAGGAGGAAATAATTCGTGGCCCTCCAAATATTTCCTCACCGCCTTCCCGAATCTGTACTGCCGGGAAATAATTCGTAGCACGCCTGAATTATGGTTGATTTTTCTCACAAGAGCTTGCGATGCTTAGAAACCAGGGCTTGGAAGGTAATTAGATGCTATTTCAAGTAGAGCTATCTAAGAATATGTCTTATTTAAGAGTTCTAAAACAACAGGCCACGCATGGTACGCTATTACTTGAATACACTCAGAAGGCTACAGGAGTAGTGGCTGATCATGAATTCTTTCTATGTGGGAANAAGAATATGTCTTATTTAAGAGTTCTAAAACAACAGGCCACGCATGGTACGCTATTACTTGAATACACTCAGAAGGCTACAGGAGTAGTGGCTGATCATGAATTCTTTCTATGTGGGAAATATTGCTTGTACATGAGCCAATACGGTCATGTAACAGCACTAATGAAACGCTGGTGGTGATGTTGGCTACTACATGATGCCGTATCGGCGAGGTACAGATGCTTCCGCTTCCGATTAGGCGATATTCTCCTGGAGAATTGGCATCTGCTTCGAAATCTCTGAACGCTCAAAATCCACCAGTATCACCTTTCGACCTTCAGAATTCCATAGAATATTCGGCGGTCGCACATCGCGATGCTCTACTCCGCAATCTAACATCTTTGTAACTGCCCTGTTTGTTTCCGTAGCCAAATCCCGTCCCATGGCTAACATCGAATCGTTGCGTGCCTGCTCGCCTGCCCATGACATTAGTAGCATGTGAACTATTCTAACTCCAACGTCCAGAAAGTAGGGGCAGACGAGAGAGATGTTCCCAAGGTAGACGGGTATAAGCTCTCCTTGAACTTCGTTCAGGTGTTGGTAGACCAACCCTTCGTGCTTCAACTTAGCCTCGAATGCCGTCACAGTCCCTTTGGCAACGAAAGTATATCCATACCATTCAAGCGTCAGTCTGAACAGAGCCCCACAGGCGCCTTGTTTTCCAAGTGGCTCACACCCATTGTCGGGGTTTTCGGCGAGTTGGCGGGACATAAGTTTGATAAGGGATTTCTGCTCTAAAGCATGGTAGTTGCCAGTCTTATGAGCACGATGTGCATTGACATTCGGACAAGCATCGTCCAAGGGACGTTTTCGCACAAGCCCTAACAAGCAGGCTTGTGTGCAGTATTGGCGGTGGCAGACATCGCTCTCTTCGGCTGCCTGTGATTTTCTGACGGGACGCACCTGACCGACATTAGACTGGTGCGTATGAGCCCTTTGCTTGCTTGGAGTTTCAATGTCTGAGGTCTCATCCGATGAGCCAGACGGACTCTGTGGATCTTCGTGTACAATTATGTTTACAGAGCCACAGCTATTCCTTGCCTTCCGTAACTTTCTGGGTCTTAGCATGATCGGCGACCGCTCGAAAGGATAGATTCGTGCATGAAAGACCGAGTGCGGAGGAGTCAACATCTTCTCTTCAGCGGGTATCTGTTGTAAGATGGTCTCGTGATCGATTACAGCCCTACAAGCAATCTCTAGCGCATGATTTCGCCATTTTTGGTTGCGAGGCTTCGATTCCAGTGCCATTAGGGAGAAGGTTAGGGTCTGGCTCACTGCCGTGCGACAGAGTACAGTATCGACCTCACTCTGCGCTTCGGCTTCGATGTTGGGTTCTGCGAGGTGATAGTAGAGCGTATGTGGTTCTTCCTCCTTGATGAGAAGGAAAACATCGGCTTCTCCCGTACCCAATTTGCTATATTTGAGCCCGTTTTCAATCATGTATGTATACGTTTGCGATAGAGCTGCTGCCGTCAGCCACTCAGAGTGGTACACAAACTTGGCCTCTGGATCAGTCGGTATTGTGACCCGATTGATGACTTCCTCGGGAATATTCATAGACCCTTCGTCAGCTCGCAAAAGCCCAGCCCGTAGATTGAAGACCGACAGCTTATGAGATGGTTTGTATTCAACAACCATACACAGGCTTCGTGTGCCATCTGCCTCCTTATATACACAAATCTGATCAGCGTTTCGTGGTTTTGGATTTGAGCTCGAGGCTTGTCCTTTGCTTGAGATGCGGAGATTCTGCAGACTTTGTTGGACCTCTTCGTTGCGATCACTGAGG